CCTCATCCGGGAGATGGAGGAGAAGAGTCAGCAGTCGGCCAGTGAAATTCTGCAGGTGAGGGGGTGGCGGGAACAGGCAGGGTCCCCCTTGGGGAGAAGGCTGAAGGCTGGCTCCAAGCCCTTTCTATGCCTCCTTCACTGGGGCAGAAAGCAAATGTTAATGTTGCGAGTGCGTTCTTGTTTCCTTTCTGCCCACGTGCCCCTCTGTGTTTGCCTGTCTAGCAGCACGAGCTCTTCCTCTGTTGCTTTTCAAAATCCAGCTTACTGTTGGATCAGTATTTTTACATCTTAATTTTGATATTAAATGAAAGAACACTAATGAATGCATTTTACTGAAACCAGGAAATATCGAAAAAGGCTTCAGGTATTTTCCTTAGGATAAGTATGGTTGATGCAGTCATGCGCCATCCAGTGTTCCTGCCTTCGGGGTGAATATTGTGGGTTGGAAATGTTGAAAGCATCAAGTGCCACATGGACCCACAGCCATGGAGCTGCTTCCAGCTGATCGTGGAAGAGCCGTTTGTCAGCTGGGCTGGAGGGTCTTGGGCCTCTGCCTGGGTCTCTTCGCCCTTTTGTGGCACACTCTTGCTCTCCCACCTGCTGCTGTTCTCCTGGGATCACAGTGGTAAGGAGGGATGGCCGTTAGTTGGGCCATTAGTGAGCTGCATGAGAAGATGGCAGATGGAGGAATCTCTGAAGCGTGTGTGTGTGTGTGTGTGTGTGAGAGAGAGAGAGACCAACACACAGAAGGAAAACCTGCTTCATGGGTGTAGCTCTTTGTGACAACCAGAAATGAGGGCCTGTATGCAGGGTTTTCTGCAGCCACTCTTAAAAGGAGGGTGAGGGTGGCAGTATATTGTGCACCACTGAGTTCTCAAATCTGTCATCCATGTGCACTCTGAAACGACTTCTCTTTGCCTGCTGATGTCATTTCCTCAGGAAGAAGTTCCCCCACTTTCGGAAGGTGCAGCTCCTGTCCTTGAGGGCGACACACAGAGAAAGGAGTCAGAATGCCTCTCTCTCCCCAGGGTCTGAGGGGTCTTCCCAGAGTGACCTGTGGCACGTGTTGAGTTTCCTCTTCTCTCTTTTTCTCTCTTCGCTTTTTAGGACGTCCGAAGCACCTTGCAGAGGTAAGTGGATCCCTCTCCCTCATTGCCCAACTGATGCTGGGATGGATCTGAAGAAAGCAGGAGGTGAAGAAAGTGGCCCTTCAGGCTCAGGACCACCACCACAGATCTCAGTCCATTTGTTCCTGGCAAACGACAGCTGCAGATGAACGTGGTCTCAGGGGCAGAAGCTCATGCCCCACAGCAGCACGTGGGCATGTTTTGTCTCTTGTCCCATTTCTTTCCTGCCCTTCCTCTATAGAGCTCAAGGGAGCGTACTTGATTCTCCCCTCCGCATAACAGCCCTGTTAGATAAGTTTAGCTGCAAGGCAAAGAGAATGGCCCAGGAGGACCACCCTGCAAGCTGGAGGGCTGAGAGGGGAGCCAGGGCCTCTGCGGTCCTAGTCCACCTCTCTGCCCACTGGAACCGCAGTAGCTTCGTCCTTCTTTCCCTTGACGGATGTGGGCAGGGGATGTGAAGCTGCTGTTTTAAAGGGAAGCCACTTGTTCCTCTTGGTGTCTGATTTGGCCTACATGTGCCTGGTTTTGGGGTCTCCGGAGCAACTGAGAGGGGACAGACTCTCCACCCCTCTTCCGCTGCTTTCAGCATCTGCTGGTGTCTCTGGGCCTTCTGCTTAGTCCTTCCGTCGTTTCTTTGTTCAATTGGTGGGTGGGAGTTCTGGAGTGGATAGTTGGTGGCCTTTTTGTTGTTGTTGTTCAGTCGCACAGTCGAGTCCGACTCTTTGCGACCCTGTGGACCACATCACACCAGGCCCTCCTGTCCGCTGCTGTCTTCCGCAGTTTGCTCAGTTCCATGTCCGTTGCATCTATGACACTGTCTAATCATCTCATCCTTTGCCATCCCCGTCTTCCTTGACCTTCAATCTTTCCCAGCATCAGGGTCTTCTCCAGTGAGTGCTCCCTTCTCATTTGGTGGCCAAAGTATTTGAGCTTCAGCTTCAGTATCTGGCCTTCCAGGGAACAGTCAGGGTTGATTTCTTTTAGGATTGACTGATTTGATCTCCTTGCAGTCCAAGGCACTCTCAAGAGTCTTCTCCAGCACCATAGTTCAAAAGAATCTATTCTTCGGC